CCTGCTGTGTGGCTAGGTTTTGTTTTGAGCATTTTTCTTCTTTTTTTTTCCCTCCTTATATTTACTTGTTTGCCTTATAAATTTTAATTATAATTATTAGAGCATGAATTATTTTCTACATAATATAAATATAAATGCGGTACATAGGCTATATTGGATTTCAAAACCTTGTTTATTACATAAAATCACTGTAAAATTCCAGGCTGCTGTTATGTCAGTTTAATAATAGTTAAAGACAAAAAGGAGCTCATGCCACTTTAATTGGACATTTCGTATCTTTGCATTTTTCCTAGCAACACCTTATGGCAAACGTATGACCAATTATTTGCCTAAGGGCTTTTTGATCTTTGCTATGCCACAGCATATGCGTTGCCTTTGCACCCAAGCCGAAACTTCTTTCAGGCGCAGTATTTTTGGGGATTTGCAAACCAGAGAGTCGAGAATGTTGACTTCTTGAACAAAACACTTTTCAATTTCTCAAGCCGACCAACTATTAATTGACGGCAGATCCACGTTAATGGTAATTGCATGACGTGTCAGTCGTTGTTGTGTCAATGTGTTCCCTTTGTACGTAATTGTTTGATGGATACGTTCCGGTGTGGAATTTTGCAAAATGATACAGTTTCTGCTTGCAAATGTGATAGTAAATTCAAATACCACAACATTATACTAAATGTTGCAAAAAAACATGCGCAACTTATTTCGTCCAAGAAAATGCAAAATACTTAGCATTATATACACTAAACACTAAACGTAAGATTGCCAAACTTCTTCTTTTCTTTTCTCGCATATCACGACAATTCCAGTTAAGGTACGACGGAGGCCATTCATATTCAGCAAGAAAACATCACCTGCCACAGATTCATCACATTTTTGAACTTTTATTATATGACCGGCTCTCAGTTATTCATTATGTAGACAACTCTCCTGCTTCGATTCGAAAAAGTTCACGTTTTTGATTTTGGGGATAAGAACATCTAAGCGGCTTGGGTTTGTTTCAGTAGTGAACGGAGATCCAGCGCAGTGAGCGAGAGCTTTTTAGTGAACAGCAGCTATAGAGGGATTTACTCGATCGTATCCTTTAATCAAATATTTTGTAGTTTACTTTACTTCTTCTCAATCGTCCTCCAAAGGTGATTTTTTTTTTGTTTTTTAAATTTATATAAAATCAGGATGACGTTAACAGGTTTCTTTGATTAGTGCGCTGTGTGCGCCCTATGAATTCCTTCTGCCGGGGCAAACTCTTAAGAAGGTATGTTATTTGAATGTGTGGAGTTTTTTGAAGAAATCGGAATAGTTGAAAAAAAGCTCTTGGTGTTTGTATTCCGGTAGTGCCCCATTTCACACAGCGCCGGTTTTTCGAGACTATTCCACTAAAAATTCAACCCATAACGCTTTACAACCAGCGTATTTAGCCCCATATGGCTTCTGGCTGCACCCTAAACTCAAAAGATCGCCCAGGAGGCACCCTTTTGTCTCTGGTCTGGATAGATACAAGCTGAATCGAAGAAAGTTTTGAAGGCCATTCCACAGATCGACTATAACGATAGTTTTGATGATTGGAGGAAACGTTGCCATAAATGTGTGTGTGTGTATATGAGAGAGATAAGTTTGAAAGTGACTCAAAACCTTTGAAATAATAAATGGATTTAGAAAAGCCAAAATTAAATTCGTCTTAATTTTTGGACACAATACGTATCTATTGATTATGTTTGGCAAGGAGGTGTCACAAGGTTGTTTCTGGTCAACTTTTCAATATAAAACAGAATGTCACCTCCATATTTTGCTGAGGTAGAAGAGAAAATTTACTAAATTTTAAGTAAATAAAACATCGATTTACTTATCACAAATCAGCTTTTGCTGGCTCATGAAAAATGCATAAACGAACTATGATATCACATATCCAATGTACTGAACTTTTTTGTTTTAGTTTCCATTTGTTTAATGCATATTTTCTACGTATGTAAACTTTGGCATGGTGTAGAAAAGAGAGTGGGAGGGGAAGGAAGCATTTGAAGTAAAAGGAAAGAAAACTTACAATATTTCCCCACGAATACGACGAACGAGCAGAGCTTTCGAATTAATTTAAATCGGTATGCGCGACTATTTAATTATTCAAAAGTTTATCCACATATTACAACAAGAGAATACATACTTTGGACTAGAATAATCAGGCCTGAATGATTTAATATGTGCTTTATTTATTTAAGCATGTAATGTTGTGTACGTGAATACATACAAACAAACATATAAATGAATAAAAGAGGTTGAATACGTGAAATTGTAAATCCTTGTTTACATGCCAATACAACTGCAACTTGTCGGTTTGTCATTTCGCTTGTGACCGTAACTATGTACAATGCAATACGAAACAATTGCAATTAATTTCTCAAAATATATATCAATCAACTTCTTAAAGTGTTTACAGATATTTTTAAAGCAAAAAAGATATTAGTAATAATTTTGCAACAATTTCATCGTTTGTCTTTTATTAAAACATTTCAATTAAAATATTCGGTCACCTATCACTTACTCATAGATTCTCCATGTACTAGAGAAACTATTTTAAAAATGACGCTTCTGATCTTGCTTTTCAAAGATTATTATATGCTCTTCGTTTTCTATAGAAGGAAAATAAAGTTATTCTCTTAAATTGCGGTGTCCCCACATGCACACAGAGACGGTGATAGTGAAAGGAGAATTACCAATAGCGGAGTGAGAAAAGTAAATGATTTCCGTGAGATTGACAAGACTACTCGGATTTATGTTCACCTTTATAGAGTATACGAAATAGAGTAAAACATTACTTTCACTTCTAACCTTAATATTGTTACGAAATTCGCTTTTGTCGGATACGGTTCCTATCACTGCAGATCGTGCATACACAAGACTCCTTCATTTACCATCAATTTGTTTAACATTATCCTAGACATCTCAACTCTAATATTCTTTTTCGAATCAAATGTTTTTGTCCGACTGACTCTGCCTTCCGCAAATACTCTATTTATATACATTTTTACAATCACATTACTATTACCTAAGTTCATGGCTTCATTTTCAATCCCTTAACCTGCTTTTCCACTAATCGTTTTCCTCGGCCGGCAGTTGCATGGCGCGTCGTGAATGTGCACTTGGGTTTTCCCTTTCTAGCGAATTTATTATTTGGCAAAATCAATCAATTGGCAAGAACTGGGTTTGGGATTTCCTTAACAATATTTATTTAGGCTTAAAACTGCTATTGAAACTTTTCTGTTCGGCTCACAATTTAAAGTTAACATATCTGTTGTAGGTTTTATATGAGGATGAGATATGAAAATATGTTATCCATGATGTATATTATTAGAGAACTCATGGCAGAGAGCATATAATTTTATTTTGTGCCGGTGCAAAACAGCAAGGCCTTATTTTCTTTTAACCGAGAATTTTCAATTGAAGATACGAAGACCCAAAGCTAAAATCTGGTTTTGGAAATTCGACCTCAAACTATGCAATATTGCGGAATTAATTAAGACAAAAACCAGGTTTGGCTTGTTGTGTTGTCGGCGTCTTTAACGATGTAGTCGTACATGCAATAGGTTGCAATGAGAAGACTTGACAAGATGACAAAAATATTGTTCAAAATTCATTATTACGGCAAGCGTACGTTCATAATGTTCTAATTTTATAAGCAAATTCGACAAGGATGGATGGAAGCACTCTTACGTATATATTCGCCATACACCGGCCGACATTATGCTAGCATATGCCTATAAAAAATAACGCGGTCCAACACTATGCGTCACTATTTTATCAATTTATGCACCTAATGCTACTTTCACTTCAATACCTTACAGATGAGTTTGGCCTGTGTGGACAAATGTTAACAGATTTCGTTGAGAGAATTACTAACATCCTGCAACAACGTTGAAGTTACTTATAGGCAATGAATACTTGTGTGTGAGGGCGTAGTTCGAATACGGAAAGAGTAGTAAGTGCGGGTTTTCCGAAAATTGTCTTTCAAATCCATGGATATCATGGTAACAAAAGAAGTCCGTCCATATGTCTGTTTATGTTGGTTCGTATTTTGTATTTAAATATTTGTTTTTTTCTTTTTTGCATTTGTTTTACTGATAACTGTACGTATTAAGTAGCAAATGCATGAACGTTACTCATGCTAAACAGAGACATAAACACGCAATGCTGACATTATTTTTTTTAACTTGAAAATGTTTTTTTAATCTGAATAAAAAAGTAATTAGTAGAGTACACACACTTTTAAGTACATGCAACATATTTCTGTATATGATATCGTAAAAACGGCAAAACAGCAATAGCAAGAGTAAGAGCAACAACAATTATAATAATAACAACAACAATATCAGCAACAAGAATAACAACAAGGAATAAATAACCACAACGAAATTCAGTGAAAAACATGTTCTATTTAAGGACTACAAACCGAATACGACGAATATGGAATATGTTGGGATAATAGGAATGAGTTTTTGGATAAGCATATATATATATGCATTAATATGTATGTATGTATGTATAATTTTTCCAACTCTTTACATCGTCCTGTTCATTGTATTCTCTCTCTTTTAAAATTTTAACTGAAATAATTTACGACATTTAAAATGCAATTCCGCATGAGTATACTACACGATGGGCGTGTACGTACATATGTATGAATAAATTAATGTACACATGAAATTATAATTGTTACAACTTATGCCGAATATATTAAATTTTTACTATGTAAGTAGTAACAACGATAACTGGAACAAGAGGAACACACAACAACGAAAGCACACGAAAGCAACGATAAACTAACACTATAACAAAAAACAAGTCATTTTCTACGGAATATATATTTTGTAAATAAATAAATAAATAAATAGTTGAATGCTTTCAAATAAACTGATTTAATATTTGCCGTTTATTTTTTATTTTTTCCTCCTCGTCATTATATTATTGTTTATCGATGCATAATGTCATGTTGTATTGTATTTTAATTGCAGAGAATGTGAAACCATTGACATTTGATGAAGTTTACAATCAAAGCAGTCCCTCAAACTGCACTGTCTATGTAGGGGGTGTTAATAGTTCGCTTACCTCCTTAAGCGAAGAGATATTGCAAAAGACTTTCTCACCTTATGGCACCATTCAAGAAATCCGTGTATTCAAGGATAAGGGTTACGCCTTTGTACGGTAAGTTTTAGTTTGATTTAAGTTCAATGAAGGAAAAACAAAAAGAAATCAAAACTTACAACCGTTACTGCACACAATATAATGCTAAACATTTTGACATGATTCCGTGACTGGTTACATTTAAAATTCATTTACATTCATTCACTTTTATATTTGCATTTATTTGTTAAAGGTTCTCCACCAAAGAAGCCGCAACACATGCCATTGTTGGCGTGCACAATACCGAGATCAATGCCCAGCCAGTGAAATGCTCATGGGGCAAGGAAAGCGGTGATCCGAATAACGCTCAGACAATCGTTAGTCAGGCTCTCAATCCTGCAGCCGCTGGTTTTCCTTATGGAGTCGGTGCGGCTGCTGCTGCAGCGGCTGCCTACGGACAACAATTAGCAGCTACCGGTTGCTGGTATTCACCCACACCAACGTATCCTACTTCTTCGGCCACTGCAGCTGTAACTCCTGCCGCCTCGGCTGCAGTACAAAATCAATTTCTGCAAGGCATCCAAGGTTATCATTTCGGCCAATACGGTGGTTACCAGCAGGGCTATATGGGGTAAGGCCAATTAAGTCAAATTATTTCTAAACAAATCCCCCGATTCCATACAGATTCCTATATACACGACCAATGTGGGCGTAGCTCGAAATTAAACTACTTTTGTAATTTATAAGCAACGACTCAACTCAATCCAAAACTCAACTTCTAAGCTGCTCTTTCCGAATATCGAAGTGTTCTCACTTTACGTTGTATTGTGGACGTGTTCCTTGATCGATGTAGCCTATTTTGCACTACCAATATGCGTGGAGGAATTTCTAACATCCAGGCCGACTTTGAATCGATATCTTCGATTTTGGGTCCTGAAGAAGAACGTTCATCGCAGACATTACGCAAACGAGTGGACAGACAGACGAACATACTTAAATTCATTCAGAGAACAATGTCCATCAGGAACCATCCATATTTTATGCTGCCTATGCACCTACTTTATGGGCGTTGCAAACGTTTTGACAAAATAAATAACACCGCAAGCGTCGTCCGTAGTATCACTTTGAAGCCAAAACACGTCAATCAACACAATTCGGCAATGCATCCATTAACTCCCCCTTGCGGAAACGATAAATTTTTGAAAAAATGTGATCCAGTTACCCCGCCAGCTTAAAATCACACTGTTCAGCGCTGATCTTGGGGAGGTTGTTGAGGAGTTCTCGTAGCTTCCGATCCAGCAGTTTTGCATGTATGGACGGCACTTATTTTTAGAGAAGATTGCTTGAGCGAAGCATCCATTTGCAATAACTGCTTCGACCTCCCTTTAGAATTATACGGAAATGTACGATTCCTTTATTGCCTTATAGATAGTATAGGGTAATGAAGACTCAATAAATTATGTACATTTTAGAGTAGAGCGAACTTCTGCCTTCACTTAGCTAATTTTTTATTTTTATGTTTAATTTTTTTTGCTTTTTATCACATACGCAACTAGAAGAGAAGAAAAGCTGGTATCAGAACCTCACGTAAACAGTAAAGAAATTGAACAAGTTTTACATATTTACCTGGGGGTAATTTAAGTATCTAAGATTCGCCCCAAGCCAAGCATAAATTTTTTACTTTCTTTTTTTTCCCTTGTTATTTTCCAAGTGTGTGTACTTTAAATTAGCTTTATCGCTTTTCTTTTTGTTTTCATTTTTTTGTTTTTGCAGAATGGGTGTACAGATTCCCACCACTTGGCAGGGTGTTGCCACTCAAGCACAAATCTCTCCTGCTCAACAATTGGCGACGGCGGGGGTGGCCGGTGCCGCTATACCTCAAGCAGCCGGTGTTGTAGCTTATCCCATTCAGCAATTTCAAGTTAGCCCACAGGTATGTAACACCTTTTACAACAGTAGCGCGTAAAAAATGTTTGCATTTTTTTTTTTTTTCCTTTCTTTCATTTACTCATTTGCCCTTTTTTCCCGCTTTTAAGTGTCTTGCATTCATTAGCCATTCCTACAAGAATTCTCCCTTACCCTCTTCCATGCACACTATTGTAAAAGGAATGTGTTATAAATTGTTAAAGTATGTGTATATATGTATATACGTGGCGTGCTTTTTTTTTTTTTTTTCTTACTGCACATGCTTTTGAACATAATTAAAAGCACGAGTTTTTTTTCTGTTATAGATTTTAATTAATTTTTCTGATCTTTTTTTTTAATGTAACAGCATTTATGGTTTTTGTGGGTTAAGGGACAAAGCAAAAAAAAAATCTTAACGACGTACAATCAAAGTATTTTTCAAAGAAGAAAAAGGTGTTTTTTCTAATGTCTTCATGACAATAATAAATAACTTATACTCTCCCTCCACATACTTGAATCGTGTTGCTGGCCTGAGAAATTATATAAAAATCTGAGATAAGCTTATCATCTCATTATTAATTGCGCCATTGATTTAATTTCCTTCAATTTGCATTTAAATAATAATTTCGATTCTTTTTTAAATCAATCTACAGATCCAGCAGTTTTTTTACTTCAATAAGCCTTTATTCCATATACAACTAACAATCAAGCAATTCATTTCGAATTATTTCTGAAACGTTTGATTGATTTTGAAAGAGAATTATTTTCGCCTAAAAGAAGTGTCAAGCGGTCAACCTCTGCAAAGAGGAGAAGAAAAAAAAGAGGAAAAAGACACTTGAAGAATTTATCGGCGGAGAAAGTCAATAGCTTTTATCTCATTCCATCCATTAACTAGTACGTATAATATCGTCAGATAATTTCCATCATGCTACACTTACCGCCGTCGCTCGGGTACCTATTATAACATCTCATAACAATAATGCTTGGAGCTAACATATAAATACTGCGTCCAAGAAGTAAGACCAATTTTTCATTATTACTTTTTAAAAGTGTTATTTCAAATTTATTTCGTCGCCTTTAAAAAAGTAATCCTCAAATTCAAAAAATATTCTTTGCTAACCTTGGCGCGGTTTTTTCCGCCTTGGCTCGGCTTTTGCACGACTTTCGCTCGATTCATCGGTTGTCTTCGAGTCGTATGCCTAGATTCAAGTCTCGTCTCATTTTATAAAATTCGAAAAAAATATTTTCTCTGTTGTACAAAGCCAAGCGGAGATGAAATACTAATGACGCTTGTGATGTCGTTCACAGTGCTACCTATTTAGAACAAAAGTGTTTCTGATATTCGATATGCCCGCGCAATTGAACTTGAATACTGGTCTTACTTTTTGGACATAGCATTAGTGTTATTAGAAAGTGCCACCGTTGAGAAAACCTCTGTAAAGGTGTTCATGTGATTTTACTCGTTCTCGAAGCTTTGGTGATATTAATTTTGTTATTTTTAAAGCAATATAATTAATTAATTACGACGTTAATAATTCAATGTTCCTCTTTGATGAGGAAACAACTACTTAAACTCAGTATTATCTTTAAAGGTGAAAGGAGCAATTTTTCTCGATAGTTGACGCGAGCACGAGCTTGCATGTACGCTCCAAAGGGAAAAATTGAAAAAGTCCTGAAAAATATTCTCGTTAATCGAAAAATAAAATTGCAATACACAAGCGAACATTCCGTAGTTTTCATTGTCGAGATAGTTGTTTTCTAAATGGTTACCGCATTTACTCATAGCGGAAGCAAGACAACGATGACTACAATAGCAAGGTTGCATAAGCGGAAGTTCGAATTTCTAACCCTTACCCACAGTAATCCCTTTACCTACTCGCTTTCTGTGGCTTTCTTTACTTCTTTGTAACCGTCTGCGTGTTTTGCGAATAGCGGATATTCTGAGTCATTGGTTCATATTAAAAAAAAAGCGTCAAATGACGGGATCATTATAAGAATTGCAGCGTATTATATATACCTATAAGAAGGGCCATGACGAAAATAGCTTCGTAGAAAAAAAGGTATCGAAACTTCGCAACAGCGATGAATTGTTTGTAGCATTCTTTTAGGAGCTTACGTCGATAAATAAGCTCAAATTTCGTAGCAAATATCAGTTTCTATATTAGTCCCAGCAATTATTGATCAATGTACTATCTTACGTGCAATTATGCCCGCATTTTATTTTTTATTTTATATTACTTTTGCATATTTCAGTGTCATTTATTTTTTATCCATAAAATCATTCATATATCATTACATTTCGGCTCAGATATTTGCTATTAGTTATATGCATCTCCTCCTAATTAGTTTTTCATTTTCCATATTTCTTTTTTCTCCACGTCTCGTTTGTAAACGTAACAAGCAAATAAATTCATATCTTATGTAAAGATAAACCGACTGGGACAAATTACGTTGTGAAGAGAGGCTATAAGCAATTAGGTTGAAACAATAATGTATGAGTTTCTCATTCACGTTAGGGCAGTATAAAAAAGTATCAAATATAATCAAAATGTGCATCAAACATACATGCGTGCTCCGGCATAGTTAAAAAGAGGCATTGTTTCCGTCTTGTCCATTTGAGTTCTGTCATCTGTGAGAATTCTTTTCAAATCGCTTCTTCAGTTTGCACATTTTCAAAGGGGCGTGTACTTAACTTAGTTTACGTAGCTTTCCGACTGGATTCTTTCCAGTACAGTTGCCCTTTCCTAAATAATATAATAAACTTTCTATTGCATCGCTCGCGACAGACTTTTTTTGGATTGGTGGTCTGGTTTTAACCAATCCTGAAGACGTCCGATCCGTACCAAATATGCGTTCGCTCAGTGCTGCACTCCCATAGTCATGTTGATCGCAAACAAAAACTACTCCCTCTTTGCCGCTCTTCTATCAATAACTTTTTCTACTTTCTTAGGCGACATTTCATGAGGCTAGTACTGTCTAATCAACATAGTTTTTTTTTGTTCCTATTTAGAGAAACCAGCTTTCTTTCTGCTCCGCTTACAACCTAATGAGATAGTTTTCGAAAAGCCAACCAACAAGTCTGTCGTCGGCTTTTTAGCTTGTAGACCTTTTTCTGCCATCTTCTCGCTCCCAGTACTTTCTTTTGTGTAACTATTTTTAGCTTACGAGAACCACAAAAGCTTCCTATGCTTTACACTTTTAATAATAATGTTGTAATTATTACAATTCAATTTTCTCTGATATTGTAATGACTGAGTTTTCCTACGCAAATATATCCTTTCACAAGTATTAATATCTAATTTCATTAATGGTTAATCTTTCGGGCAATCGCAGATGTCTGAGACAGATATTGCATTGGGTTTACCACATTTGGGATATGGTTTTTTAGAAAGTCCATTCAGTTCAACTCGTCGAATGTAGAATTTTCGTAACAATACGTCTACGTACCTTTTGCTACATTACAGTTACATTAAATCGCGTTAAATGACAGTAAAGCATTAACAACGAAAAAAATGTTCAGTTTACATAAGAATGTTACTGCACCATCTCTTATATTCACTTGAAGTCACAAATATTCCCCATCCCCCAATAATGGGAAAGGTAAGCGTTGCTTTATTCGAGCTTCTTGGTTATTCTTGATAAAAAGAGCAAGTTTCGTCAAGCTCTTTCATTTCGGTCGTAGCCTATAGTGTGTTCCTAGTCGGTAAAGACATAGCAACAGCTGTCGAATGACCTCAACTTCCCGTGACTGTGGCCTACACCAATGTTTCTTTATTTCTCTTCACTCACTTCTTTTCAAGCATTACCAGGTTACGCGAATAAGGAACATTCCCTGAGAAAGTTTCGCCAAACTATGCAAAGCTTAGGAACCTAGGCAACGTTTTTTCAATTTTTGGAATCAGCTCTGAAATCTTAGTTTTACATGTCTCAGGTTTGCATGTCTTTGGTTGGATTCTATTGGTTTGAATGAAAAGTGAAAAAACTTTTCCCAGTTACGGATATTCAAAGAAATCTATAAATGTTTTGACCCCAGTGCGACATCATACATATCACTGACTGAATAAAGATGAGGTGAAGTGTACCTGAACAGTGCTGTGCTTTCATTAGCAGGCAATTAAAAACCATAAACCAGCAAAATAGTTTTTCGCTACTTTTTTCACATGCATGCAAAGTTCTCTTTCAATTCTCTTAAATCGTATATTTAAAAGGTTTTTCATACTAATTCAGTCATATCATAATTCATATATAGACTATTTGTTATTTTGTAAATATTATGAAATTTCTCTCATATCTGCTTCCTATAAATATGTATATATGTTTATTTACATACAATTTCTGATATTGTAATGAAAAAATTTTTTATTGTTTTTCAAGAATTTTTTTTCTACTATTTTTTCTCCAATTTTTACTAACACCCATATTATTTCTTAAGGTTTATCCTTTACTTTTGCAGGCACAGTAAAAACAAAATTAAAAGCAAAAGCAAAAAAGAAATAATAAGAATAAAATAGAAATCTAATACAAATTCCTCACAACCATGATAACAAAAAATCCTAAAAGAATTAGAGCATAACCAATGAATGAATTTCTTAATAATTCTGAGCTGTAAATAATTGCTGCGCTAACAACAAAATGGTTTAAATGAAAAACGAATGATAAAAAATGATTTATTTTTACAAAAAAAAAAATAAAAAGAAAAATAAAAAAATAAAAATAAAAAATAATAATATTAATAATTTATATCATAACAAAAAAAAAACAAAAAAAAAATTAGAGAATAATTAGGAAGGAGGACAGATACACTAAAGTAAAAGTCCTTAGAAACTAACTTTAATTTTAAAAGTTAAACGGAATTATTAAAGAAAGCAATTATACACATATTTACACAAATACAAATACCAAAAAAAAAAAAAAAGAAAAACAAATGAAAAAGAGAAAACCACATTTACACTCTTTTACCAATAATTGGAGAGGAAATTATGTGAAATGTGTACACAGTTTTCATTAAAACATAAGTAAAAATCATAAAAATTAAAACATAACATAAGCCAGAAAAAAATTCATAAAAATTCATAACATATAACAACAAATCAACAATAGTTGTATTGGGCGTTCGCCCATGAAGCATAGAGAGTAAATTAGGGAGTGAGAGAAAGAGACGGATCATAAATTATCATCATATATATGCATACGAGAAAAAAAAATAAATAAATAAATAAATAGATTGACCTTTTTGTGTAGATGGATGAGTAACATACAAAATTTCTTTTGTAACATCGGTATAATGCATATTTGTCAAGTGTTGTGTGTGTGTGTGTGTGGTTATCAAAAGCACTTAAGTATTGTGTTGAGAAACTGTTTGTTACATAAATAAACAAATACATATAATATTTAACCAAACACTTGTGTGTGCAACAATTTTTTTTTTTTTTTTTTCTTTTTTTCGTCTGATCTTGTTGTTGTTTAAGTAAACATTATAACCAGAAAGCACTTGGGCTGCTTAGGAGAGTTGCAAACAAAACTCAATGCATGAAAGCAAATGGGAAAGACATTTCTATTCGCCCAACCACGAATTCTAGATACCCATCGTTTGAAAATTATGCAAAACATAAAAGAAACGAAATTATCTATCTTTTTTATGTGCCGGAATGCTTCAGTAAACCAATTGGTAGCTTAAGGCAGCCGTAATAAATATATAACAAGCTTTAGCTCAATCTCCTGCTATTGGTTATAGATTGTTATAGAAGCTTGGTTCGAATTCTGAGTTATTGGCAGCAGTTTAGCCTCAAATTAAATTCTTTTCCGGGACTGCTACTAGAACAAATGCGCAGACATTTCTGCAAGATATCAAGACTATGAACATTTAAGAGGACCCTTGCTGCATTTTAACTTTTTGTCTTAATTCCATCATCATCATGTTTAAATTTTTGAGTAATAGCGTGGATTTTTTAGCCAGAAAGAGAAAGTTGCTGGCAGTGATGGGAAAAATTGCATTTATGAATATTGTTCTGGTTTTCTTGTAGAACTTTAGTAATAGATAGCGTAGTTTTTACCGCTGTCTTTTTTATTGTTGTCATTATTGCAACTGTAGGCCAAGGCACCGGACTACAAGGTGTGTAATCATCATGGACGAGAAAGAAGACTATAACATAAGTATTTGTATAATTCAACCGAAGAGATACCGATGCAATCACATGCATCGGGGTTTGCCTATTGCCTTCACTGTTGAATACCTAAGCGGTTTAATTCCAAAAAAATTACAGCTATCTGATAATTGTTATAAGTTAAGAGTGCAGTGATAAAATCCTTTCTGTAAACTCGCTGTTAAGTGCTACTGTTTAAATACTCAAAAAATAAAACAATTTTTTTTTTTTTTTTTGAAAAGCAGAGGTGTTCTCAGTTTATTTGATAATGTAGGCGCTTTCTTTGATCGTTTTGCATATCAAGTTGCACGCAAGAACTTTTAATGTTTCTGTCAAACTTCAAGTCGATAACGTCATTTTTGTGGCCCGGAGAATCTCTACGATAAAGATTACATGGATGGACAGACGACCACGCTTCAGTTCAGAATTTGATGCTGACTAAGAATATATGCCCGGAAGTTTTCTTTTCGGCGTGGCAAACATTTTGACAAAATACATACGTACTCCGCGCCCTTTGATGGGGACGGCTGTGAAAAAGTACCCGAATGTCTGACGTCATCTATTATCTCCCAGCGAATCCGATGTATTTTTCTGATACACATAAGCTCTTGGTGGTTGCTCTAAGAAGAAAGGTTATACAGCTATTTCTTCATATGCTTTTGATGTTCATACATATACACGTTCGTATAATGGATCCGTTCATTATTTCTTTTATATATATATATATATAAATATCCTTATGTTTCTATAAATATATATATATATATATAAATACATGTATATAAGTATATACACATACACATACATATAAATGTATATATAAATATATGTATGTAAATATATATACATATATTTATTATATATATGTATAAATATATATACATATATATATTATATATATGTATAAATATAAGCGCCAGAATTCATGTAAGCATTGCAAGGACAAATTGTCCACGCACACATACGCACACACTGTACACATGTGCACTCTGTTAAAATGCACACCATTTTGTGTTTTCTTGACGGTGTCACAAACTACCAAACGCAAAACGCAACAGTACACAAAGTAAAAACACCACCCAGCACTTAAAAATTTCACTTTTTTTTAAAACGTTTCTGGAAAAAGACTAAAGCAAAACAAAAAAAAAAAAGAAAAAGAAAATAGGAAAGAAAACAAGATGAAAAGAGAGAAACCAACCAAAATAAAAGAAAAAAAAAGGCTCTTCTTTTTAATTTAAGTGATAAACAAACGAAAAAAAGAAAAAAAAAAAAAAAATTAAAAGCAAAATAAGAAAAACAAAAATTAATGTTTCATCAAACAACTAAAAGTTTTCTATGAGGAGAAATATATTAAGAGAAAAGAACAAAAATGAAAAACAAAAAGTTATTACAAGAATCTAGCACTAGTGCCTCAACATAGTCCATCATCAGCAGCACAATTACATGTTATTTAAAAAAAAAAAATTGAAAAAATTCTCTTCTCATTTTCATAATATTTAATTTAATTTAATCCTTTGCTTTTAAGGCTATAGGCAACGCAAATTCCTATTTATATATGATGTAAACTACAACTTTATGTTTTGATATTTTTAGATTATCTTATACAAAATACATTTATAAAAAGCTCTCTCAGTCATTAATTCTCGATACACTCGCATTAAACAACCATTGTGTATATGTGCGAAGTGCGATGAACATATATACACACATCTATATATATATATATATATATATACACATGTAGTTGAATAAAAATCTTTACACACAATTAAGCAAACTTCCTAAAGTACGTACTAGTGCAAAAGCAATTAACCAAATCCTGTAGTTTCTATACCGAAAAAAACAAAGAAAGGGAAAAAAAAATTAAAACTAAAACAAAAAAAAAAAAAAAAAAAAAACAACAAGAGAAAAGAAAAGAAATTTACAAAAACAAAATAAATAGACACAATAATTTATTTTATTTTCTATTCGAAATAGTTCCTAACGCAACACAAAAACAAGAAGAAGAAAAAAACTGACTTCGTCGAAACCGAACATTCATTCTTATTACAATTAGAAGACGAGACAAACAAACTAACATTTCAAAGAGGTTTAATAATCTGCAAAATAATTCCTTAAGACATTGTCGTTAAGATGAAATTGCTTTTAAAAATGGTGATCAACTACAAATTGCTTTCCACATAAGCTTTAATCGCATGATTGCCAGCAATACATCTATCTAAGCACGTTTTGCATTAAAGGACTCATTATATTTCTTTTCATATTCTATTATTAATGAATTCGAGTTGGGTGTGAGAACCTGCAAAAAAAAAAAACAGTTCCGTCTCAAGCTTTGCATCATCTATACCTTATAAATAATTCAGTAAATAGTAAAGCCATGTCACGATGCTTGATACTCGATTTTATGGAAATACCTTGTGCTGATCTAAAGGTTGTTTTTCTCATTCATTCATGGGAAACCTTCAAATGGCTAACACATCACATCATCTCCTATCTGATGACCCATGGATGGCATAACATTGTTGTTAGACCAATATGACTTTTGGATAGCATCGATCTGCAAAGGATACGAGTGAAAATTTCTTGACATTGCGACCGTTAGTATACGAGTTACCTCTGCTTTACCGTTATTTTAATGAGATCACTTTCATAGTCGCTTTGGACGACTCTTCTACGACATGCTGTCCATCGACTGGTCATATGTGTTTCGGAATGAATACTTATTGGGTGACGTATTAAATTGTGAAACGTCGCAGAAACGCAAGTTTATTCTAGAGAAAACCAAACTTGGCTTCGGAAAAAGAAGAACTTTCTTTCGCTTTCTTTTCCCGTTCACCGTTTCAGACAAAAATGTACGAATAATTCAGCGAATTTTTTTTTTGGATAGGCAGATATACAATTGACAAATGTTTTTCACAGACATTTTTGTCATTAAACAAAAGCAACACCACATCTCAACCCACCAGAAAATCATTCCACACTGTACATATATTTTCATCTAATTCCTTGGGCCTCTCTTGATTCTCTCTTCTTCACAATTTCCATTGGAAATTTTTGCATTATTCGATGTACTCATCACGCTGTTAACTCGAAAGTATTTTTCCGTCACTTTTTTGTCTCTTCTTGAATGATTCTTCAAATATTTACAAACGATGTTTGAAAGATTCATTTGAAGATTGAATTTCTTATGTACTCGGAAAGTTGTTCTTTTGAGTAAACTCACTACTTAAGCTTTAATTTTCTTGTTACAAAACGTTGTTCCTAGAGGAATGCTGCCTACCATTAACGTACATCAGTCAATTCCGAATCGATCAAGTTTCCTAATAACGCTTTCGAATGAAACATATTTTCGATTGGATTGTGGATTGATTAAGTGGATTGTACAGTCGATTTATACCGCCCTACCAACTTTGCTTTAAATAAAAAACTCGGAAAATTCGGACCGACAGAAATACGACACCGCCGCACATGTTTGAAAAGAAGAATTATTCTTTTTCGTGAACTGCTCTTCCGCCAATTCGTTTCTTGGCAAATTTTTTTTTAGAAGTTTGAC